TGTTCCAGTTTGGTAGGGAGGAGAGGTCACTGCCACCTCACTCTTTATTTCATCTTGCCCTAAGATGCCTCCAACACTAGGGGGCAGTCTGGCCCCACAGACCTAAGGAGGCCAGCCCTCAAGTCCTGGTGCCTGCAACCCCGCCCCACCACCACCCCGCCATGCTCACCTAGAGGAGTGCTGGCACAGTAAAACAACCCCAAGACCCACTCACCAGCAGGCAAGGACACAGGCTTTTAGGGGGATGAGAGACAGAGCAGGGTTTGGATCCTGGTTCCGCCACCTCCTTGCTGTTTGACCTGGGGAAAGTCTTAAGTTCTCTGACCTTTGAGAACGCTTATCTATAAATGGGCTCTGTAAGGTTATAGGTGAAGCACTCGGCACAATATCCGGCATATGGTAAGCCTTCAATAACTGTTTGCTGTTACTATTGATTCTGTTCTAAAGAGTAGCTTTCTCTTAGTTCTGGATATTAATTACTCTTTTATTTAAAGTCCAAACATCCATTTCTAGAAAATCAAGTGGAGACACTCTTAAGAGATACCTGCAGTGTACCAGGCGCTAGACTAAAAGCCTGATGTCACAACAATATGAGTGAGGTTATTGTGATCCTCTATTTGACAGGTGCAGAAAGTGAGGATCAGAGAGGGTGGGTAAATTGCCTAAGGCCACACCGTTGGAAGTGGTAGGACTCGGATTAGAACCCAGAAACTGGGTGTCAGTGCTCGTAACCACCACAACAGGCTGTAGCAGCAGTGTTTTCCCAGAAGCTTCTTGTACTTTAGTCCAAGGCAAGTTGTGAGGAAGGCTGAAGAAGGAGGTTGCCATAGCTACTAACTGGACCCCTTTGCGAGTAATCAGATCCTCAGTCTGCTCCAGTTTTGCAAGAGGAGATGCTTGTCTGGAAACTCTCCTCAACACCTGCCCCTGGAGGGAGCCGGCCACACCTGAATTATTTAGCGCGTCTCTAGACACTTGATATAATGAGCAGGTGTGGATGCTTCTCCAACGTTGCCCGACATGCCTTTACTTACCCCTTTTCCCCTCCCCCTTGTTGCCTGTGAGGAAAAGGGAGGCATCTGCTGTCTCCACATTGTGTGTCTACCTCCTCCGCTATCCCCCTCCTGAAAATTATTTGTTGGAAACGGACTGTTTTGCTGCAAATTTCAAATCATGTTGATTTGAGTTTAGATTGGTGATATAAACAGGACCCTAACTAGTGAGTGGATAACTTGTCTTTTTCTATTGATACACAGTTCCTTTTCCTCTATCCTAAACTTACACAGATAAAACCCAAAGACTGAATTTGTACAAGTGAAACAACAAAAAGTATAAAAATATTCATAGTTTAGATTTCACCTATGTAAAAGGAAAGAACTATCCTTAGAGAAAGGGAAGGGAATATGAATACAGAGGTGTCACATGGCCTATAATTGTTAGGCCATCATAGCACATGGAATAGCACGATAGCAGTTATACTATGATCAGGGCCGTGAGCTTTCTAGAGTCCGCTCCCTGCTCATGCACCTCACCTGTTGCTTACATACACCCCTCGCCTTGACGATCCATCCATCCATCTGTCCCTTTCTCTCGCTTCCTGGTTCAGGGGCCAGGGCTGTGGGCTCGCTGTGCAGTGGGGACTTGTCCTGGGGGGGAAGGATTGTTTCCAGGTCTGCTCCTCCTCCTCTCCATCTGGTCTGTGAATGTACTGTTATTAGCATCCTTTGTGGTACCCTGATTAGATTGTAATGTGAAATCAAATTGAATCCTAATTAATAACATTTGAATATCTCTTTATAGTGAACTATTTGAAAACAATGAGCCATTAAAAGTCAAAGAATATTGACATGGGTAGAGGCTAACCACAAAACGTTGAATAGAAAAAAGCTAGACTGTGAAAGAAATATAATTGACATTTCCCAACGATATTACATATATATGTTTGGTCAGGAAAAAGACTGGAAGGAAGTATATCAAAGTATCATGAATGATTCTTACTGAGAAGGGAGACTGTTAGTGACTTTTATTTGTCATTATATTCTTCTAAGTTTTCCAAACTATTTTACTGCTTGACTTATTTTTAGACTATTTTTCTTGTTTTCATCGCTACTAATCTTTATTCCTCTGGGAAATTCTTGGTACAATGGTGAAAATAAAATTTGTGATAACAGCCTTTGAAATCAAAAGAGAGGCTTATTTTTCCATCCCAGCCCCCTTTGCAGCCTGCCTTTTTCAGACAAGAAATCAAGGTGCAGGGGCTAAGTTCAGACAGGAACCCTGGCCACTGCCCCGTTTGGGGATTGTAGCCTCAGAGGAGAGGCTGGACTGGCAGCTGCAGGGAGCCCCTAGCCCGGGCTCTGTCTGTGGCTGAGCTGGTTTCACCCACTCTGCAGGAGAAACGCAGAAAACCAGAGGGGCATCTGCTCCTGGTACTTCACCAAACTCTGGTTTCCCTTCTCTAACTCGCTAATAAGGCTACATCGCTGACTGTGTTTCCAGATTCTGTTTCAATGCAGACAATTAGATGGTAAATAATTCAAGAGAACGGAAACTGGCAAAGTGGTGTGTGATGTCCAAATAGCTATCTTGTTTACCCGCTGGTGTAAACTTCAGGCTCGCCTGCAAGTGCGGAGCCCAGGAGTGGGTAAAATGTGCAAACACAGGAATTTCCCTGTTTGCATTCCTTCCCACCTGTGAGCATTGTCTGGTGTGAGGACAGTTTCCCAGTTTGATTCAAGTGAAACAGCATGTCTTTGGCAGTCAGATCTGATGACTTCTCAGGCAAGTCTGAAGTCCCTCCCAGAGGTGGGTTGAATGTCCAGAATCCAGAAGCATCCTCCTCTCTTTGGGGTGAGGCCTCGTGATCAAAGTGGAGGTCTCTGCGGTATCACCACCCATCCGCTCCCTCTTCCCTCTGCGCAGTGAGGGAGCGACTTTTACCAGGCCCTGCTAAGCCTGCCCATCACTCAGGAAGCAGTCTTATTTAAGGCTCTTTGAGTTACAGGTAACATAAGCCACCTCCACTTTGCTTAAGAAGAAAAGGATAATGTGTAATATGGACACAGGGTACCTCAGAAAGCCCAAGGCCAAAATAAAATAAAAAGGAAGGAGGGAGGGAGGGATGGGGGGGAGGGAGGGAAGGACGGAAGGAAGGAAGGAAGGAAGGAAGGAAGGAAGGAAGGAAGGAAGGAAGGAAGGAAGGAAGGAAGGAAAGCTCGCCCAGCCGCTTCAGAGACAGGAACTAGCTCAGCAAAAAAGAGTAACTAATGTGTGTAGCTCAGGTAAGCAAACCACAGTGAGCACCAATGATAGGAGTTGGAGCTGACAGCATCTAGCCCAGTGGTCAGCAAACTCATTAGTCAACTGAGCCAAATATCAACAGTACAACCACTGAAATTTCTTTTAAGAGTCACATTTTTTTAAACTTAAACTTCTTCTAACACCTGTCTGATGTAAATACAGAAAACTACCTATGAAGCATTCTTTAAAAATGTCTCTTATTTCCAACATGTAGCACTGAAGTGCTCACTGAGTAGAGAATGAAGTTTTAAATCTCAGTCTCATTAAAAGGGTTATAAGGTGAGAGCGGTTATAAGGTTATTTACTGAGTTTTGCCAGGAGCACCAACCACCACAATAGGCTGTAGGAGTGTCACCGTTACACAAGGTGATGTGTAACGCCACTTCAAAAGATTGAGTGGGCTCCCCCAAGGAAGGAGAGGACTCCAAGTTGGACTGGGACTATTAAAATGGCAATCCAGCCCCGACGCAGCTGAATCCCTGGCCAGATTGAGGTGATGGGTCCTCACCCCATTTGCTAACAGAAGCAAAAGAGAATCATCACTGAAGAAAACTAACATCATATACAACCCCGATGGTTATTTTATACAACTATGAGATATTGCAAAGAGCCGAAAAATATGACTAATAATTCAGAGAAAGAACAGACAGTGGAAGCAGACCCACGAATGATTCTGATAATTGAGCTAGTGGACAAGGACTTTATGATAGGGATTATAAACATGTTAAAGAAAATATGTTTCACACATATGAAAAGATTAAGAATTTCAACAAAGAATTGAAATTTATAAAAAGAAAAAATAAAAAAGAAAAGAAAAAAAAAAAGATGGAACTGTGAAGTCTACATCGTCTCACTTCAAACACTGACTTGGGATGTGTGAGCCAGAAGGACCACACTGCCCTGGCATTTGCAAAAGTGCCAATATTGCCCCATGTGTCATAAGACTAAACGCTTAAAGCTATACATGAAGGTACATTCACCTCTGCCCCAGGCCTCCACCCAAGCCTTTCTCTTCCCCCGTAGCCTCTGAGGACCTGGAAGCTAAAGAAATCCGGTGCTCAGCTCAGTCCTGCATCTGGCACCTCAGTCAGATGCAGCAGGGATGTGCTGGGGCTGGGCAGAGCAGAAGCTGGCCCCAGGCCAGGGACTCCTGGGTGGTGACTGGTGGTGCACCCAAACCCAGGAGAGGGAGTAACCCAGTCAAGCTCCTGCGGAGTTAGGGTGTCAGGTTACCCTCCCCTATTCCTTACCTTTCAGTCCTAGGTGCCTCTCGAAACTGCACCACCCCAGCTGAGGAGCAGGGAGTGGGGATGGGGATGGGCGGGAAGCTAGTTATCGGGAAATCTGTCTGCCTAGATTAGATGCTCATTTGGGTTGATGTGAGAGGCCAACTTTAAACTGGAGCAGGCACTCTGTCCCGGACTCCCCGGGCAGAAGCTGGGTTATTGTCACCATTCCCCATTCAGTGGCAGTCTCAGCCCTTCTCCGTGGGCCTGAGGGGACCCGTTGGTCCCACACACACACACATCCACTCCCTCCTTGACTCAATCGGTCACCCACCTTTCGGAGCGTTTTCCTGTGAGACCCCAAAAGAAGAAAAAGCACTTGGTGTCCCTGTGTTGCTGGTGTGAGGTCAGTGCTAACAAGGACCGTAGACATTAACTCAGAAGCTGAGCCCACGGGGAGGAAGAGCCTGTCACAAACTTCCAGGAACGAGATGAGCAAGTGCTGGGCTGTAAGGGACAGCGCGGTGACTGCAGTTACGAGTGCTGTGTCATGGGTTTGAAAGTTCCTGAGAAGGTAAATCTGGAAAGTTCTCAACATAAGAAAACAATTGTAACTATGTGAGGTGATGGATATTAGCTAAACTTACCGTGGTAATTATGTTGCAATATGTACATGCATTAAATCATTATGTTGCACACCTTAAATTAATGCAATTTTGTATGTCAGTTATATTTTAGTAAGACTGGGAAGAAGAAAAAAAGGAAGTAGGAACCTCAAACACCACAGGAGTTGGGCCAAAATGACCCCACAATCCCGGTGGCCAGTGATAGAATAATAAGGATTGTAACTTCATTCAACTCAAATCCCTTGCATATATTTAAACCCAGGAGTCTGTAATAGCACTCTTAAACCCTCATGTGTCATCTTTTGAAGGAGGCTAGCCTATTATTTTGAAACGGGTAAAGAAAGGGAAAGAAACAGCATTTACTCTGTCATCGCTTTCCAGCTGTGTGTCGGAATAAGGATAACCAGGTTGCTGAGAGGAAGTGGTTCTTTGTAGAAATGTGTCCATGAATAAATGAAGAGATGAAGCTTAGAAGTGAAGTTAGCGTATCAACATTTTTGCAACTTGTAATGAAATCGTGGATCTAGGCAATGATCATCAATGGTTGCTAACATTATATATATGTGTATACACACACACACACACACACACATATATTGGGTCGGCAGCTAAGTAATTGCGGGTTTCACACATATATGGCTTCAGTTGAATTTTTAGGTTTGCAGACGTAGTACAAATGTAAAACACATTTTGTTATTTGATAGTTGGCTATTCAGCTGTTAATCAGTAAAAAAAAGTTTTTTGATCTGTTTTGTAGTTTTCGTTTGGCGTTCATTGAAAAATGAAAAATCAAAAGGAACATTTTCGTCATATTTTGCTTTTTTATTTCCGCCAAGGGAAAAAACGCATCGCAAGCTCATGAAAAGTTATGTGCTGTTTATGGTGACGAAGCCTTAAAAGAACGGCAGTGTCAAAATTGGTTTGCCAAATTTCGTTCTGGTGATTTTTCACTCAAAGATGAAAAACGCTCTGGTTGTTCAGTTTAAGTTGATGACGCCCTAATCAAAGCAATAATCAATTCGGACTGTCACAGTACAACACGTGAGATTGCAGAGAATTTCATGTATCACATACATGCATTGAAAATCACTTAAAACAACTTGGCTATGTTCAAAAACTCGATACATGGGTTCCTCACGAACTGAAAGAATCACAGTTAACGCAACGCATTAGCAGCTGCGATTTGCTAAAGAAACGTAATGAAAATGATCCATTTTTAAAACGACTGATAACTGGCGATGAAAAATGGGTTGTTTACAACAATATCAAGCGGAAAAGATCGTGGAGCAGGCCAGGTGAACCAACTCAAACAACATCAAAAGCTGATATTCATCAAAAGAAGGTTTTGTTATCAGTTTGGTGGGATTACAAAAAAATTGTCTACTTTGAACTCTTACCACCCAACCGAACGATCAATTCTGATGTCTACATTGAACAACTAACGAAATTAAACAATGCAGTTGAAGAAAAGCGGCCCGAATTGACAAATCGAAAAGGTGTTGTATTCCATCATGACAATGCAAGGCCACACACATCTTTGGTCACTTGGCAAAAATTAATGGAGCTTGGTTGGGATGTTTTGCCACATCCACCATATAGTCCTGACCTTGCACCATCTGATTACTTTTTGTTTCGATCTTTACAAAACTCCTTGAATGGTAAAAATTTCAATAATGATGATGATGTCAAATCGTACCTGATTCCGTTTTTTGCTAATAAAAACCAGAAGTTTTTTGAACGTGGGATTATGATGCTGCCTGAAAGATGGCAAAAGGTCATTGATCAAAATGGGCAATACATTATAGAATAAAGTTATTTAGTTCCATGAAAAAATTGTCTTTGATTTTCTTTTAAAAATCCGCAATTACTTAGCTGCCGACCCAATATATATATATATATATATATATATATATATATATATATATATATATATATAGGCATTATATGCCTTCTGATGTAAATACAGAAAACTACCTATGAAGCATTCTTGAAAATTCAAAAAGGACCTAAACCTGATCAAGCCTTTTGACTTAACTACCATTTTGTAGAAAATACAAAGTTCATGTATTTCCTTTGAAATACTGTGGAGAGGCAACTAGCAATATACCAACTGTGGGAAACTCTGGGACAAGAGACCAAAGCCTTTCAACAAGCAAATCACAGGGTATGTGTGTGGCGGGAGGGATTACAGAAAACCATATACATATCGCCCAATTTCAATGTGTAGGTCCTAATGTAAACAAATTCTAAAAAAAAACAAAAACATTTTTAGGATACAATTAGGGAAATTTGAATACCGAATTGGCATGATATTTAAGAAAGCATTGTTCGTTTTTTAGGTGTGATGACATTCTGTGTGTAAAACACCCATCTCTCAGAGTGACACACTGGAATAGTGGTGGGTGAAATTATATGATGTGTGGGAACTGTTTCAACATAATCTGAGAGGAGGTGTAGAGGTCAGCGGGTGGGAGCTGGGTGATGGGCACATGGAAGTCTAGGCTGTGTTCCCTTGGCTTCCGTGTACGTTTGAGCCATAAAGAGAACGTGGGGAGGTGCCAAGCTGGGTGCTAAGGTCTCTTGGTTGGAGCAGACACCCATCCCTCCTCCAGAGTGTCCTACGTACAGACTGGTTCCCAAACCCTGAGCGCGGAGCCCTCTCTTCTTATTCTTTTTCCTGGCAAGCTCCATCTTTGAATGGTTCTGCTCACTAAATAAATGCATTTATTGTGTCAAAACCTAAAAATACTATACCTTTGGAGCGGTTCGAAACATCTACACATTTCTTCTTTGTGAGCCTTACAGGAGGTCTTGACTTAGAATCCCAAAGTCATCCAACTGTTTACTTTTACAGGGTGGAAACTGAGGTAGACGGGCAGACTGCCGAGATCACCTGTTGGCGGAGGTGGGTCTGGAGCATTGTCCTCCTGACCCTAAGCCCCCCTGCTTTTGCCCAGTACACCGCCCTCTGGGGAGAGGGGGTAGTTCTGGGACTGCGTGTATAACCTGGCTCACTGTGCAAGGCACAGTCACTTCGACAGCCCATCATCTTCTCTTCTGAAGGCTGAGCCATGCCAGTGCCTTCAGCTTTTCTTCCTAGATGTTGTTTACTGCCACCTCTGAGGCTATTCCAAAGCCGTCTGACACATTACCAGCTTGTTTAAATTCCCCCCTGTGACAGGTTGCTGAGCACTGATTTTCCTCACCCATCTTAAGGATGAAATTAAGAAGTGAAACAAGTCAACCCTTGTTTTTTCAGGGGCATGTTGGCCAATTTCCCATCACTCATGGTAGAAACAAAACCAAAACCCCCAAAACCACCATGCACAGCAGGAGAAGAAGAGCAATCAATAGATGCCACACTCGGTAATCTTGATGTCCCTTCCTTTCACCAGGCCACAGTATGAGCAAGGTCGCTTATTGAGAAATATCTATGCGCGAGTGTTTAGCACTTTATTTTGGATGCCTGTCACAAACACATTCACAGAGGTTTTCCCACATTAAAGTGCCCCTCAGCAGTGTTTCCATTGCAACTTCTCCTCCATCCAACAAGAACCTCCTTTCAAAATGGCAGACCGCATCTCCGCCCAAGCCTTCTGTCTCGCTGACAATGTAGAGCAAGGAAGGAACCAGCCTCACTGCCAGTGTTCTCACATGCAAGATTGAAATCTTTAAAAGCCCTTTTGGATGGTTCTGTGGTCAACTCTTGTCTCTATTGGGAATTATTCGGTTTCCTTCCTGAATTTCCATCAGGGGGAAAACGAGGCTTGATCTGCCCACAGCGAGAACAAGTGGCTTTCACAGCAGCTGATTGGAATGGGAAACTGGGATCAGATCCACCTCCAAAAAGCTTTCACGTGAAAAGGGATGAGGTTTCAGTTATCTGCTCCAATTCAAGAATCTCCAAATGCTTCTTGAAAATCCAGAATTGTTTATTTAAATCAATAAAAGAAGAAAAAGAACTATAACTAGAGCCAAGTTTTGCATTGCTACCCTCAAGGGCCCATCACGAGGGCAGAGCGTGAGGAGTGACTGTTAGTACCGTGGCCCTCCCGTGGGACAGGAAGCTCCATCATCCTCTAGCCTGCACGCTTGGCCTCAATTCTTTCTCCTGATATTCCCAGGCTACCTCCCCAGCCAACCTTCTTATCACCCTGCTTCCCTGATTGTCAGTGTTCTGCTTCCAGCCTAGAAACACAAGCCAAAAAAACATACAAAAAAATGACACTACATATTATATAAACTTAGCAAACCAGACACAGAAGAGAATTCCCCGCATTGGATAAAGGCTATAGAACACAAAATCTAGTGGGGGTGGGGGGGGAGGTTTGAATCATAATCAGTGGCAGAATATCAGAAGCATTTCCATTAAAGTCAGGAACAAAAGAGACAACTCTCCTGTAGTGTACAAATACAATGGGCTAGAAAGGGAATGAGAAGCATACATTTGGTGAGAGGGAAAGAGGGCTTCCTGGTTTTCCTGTTCTTACTGCTAACAGCTCCACTTCTGACCTTGATTTTTACATCTGGGTCTGTGGCAAGGAGCAGATGGGGATGGTCTGAGCTTAAGATCCTATGTGGCAACTACCAATTTTACCATTACCCAGTTGGTCATTTCCCTTTAGCTATCTGCAGCCAAGGCAGGAGGCAGAAGCCAATCTAATAAAGAGGGAATTATGCAAATTAAACATCACACCATAACAAAGATGGCTGCGCCCACAGCAGAAGCCAAGTTCCCCTAATGAGCCTTAATAAGCAATCAGCAGGGATCTGAGGCTGCATGGCACTGGGCTAGGGCAGGGGACCTGAGGCTGCACCTCCCCAACTCTGGTGCCAGACTGAGGCTGTGCCCCATGCCATGTGGGGCTTTATGGGGGACCTCAGGCCATGCACCCCCCCCTGGCACTGGGCCTGGGGACCTGACACTATGCACCCCCTGCCTGGTGGGGTTTGACAGTAGTGGGGCCCGCCAGGTCTGGATCTAGCCCTATGGGGGTGGGACTGGCTGGATCTGGGTCTTGCATGATTTTGAGGCGCATGTGGGTGGGTGGGTGGGGACTTGACTCTGGTTCCCATGGCATGCCCCCAACTCTGACAGGAGGAAGATTTTCATATATATTTTACTAATTTCCTTTCTTCTCTGACACTTCTATTATAGAGAAAGGGCAAATAGCAAGATTAAAATATTTCCTCTAATGAATTCCCTTTTAATGAGCACAAATTTTGTGCACCAGGCCACTAGTAAGAAATGAAAAGAACACACCACACTTAACTGGATAGAGTTGCATGATTTAAAAAAAAAGATGGGGGGAGATGGTGAAAGAGAGAGACAGAAAGCAAGAAAGAATTAAGTGAGCAAGAAGGACAAGTGAAAGAGAAAGGGTAGACACGTGGATGAGTAGCCAGGAGTAGGTCAGAGAGCAGAATCCTGACATGGAGAGTGATGATGAGAAATGGGAAGAAATAATAGCCAGGAAAGCATCTGGATACAGAACCTGGAAGCCTTATCATGCCTGGAGGAGTGTGGAGGTGTCTGTGAAGGAACTGGGTTGGCAGGAAGGTTTGAGTGGGAGGAAGTCGCTGTGGGGCCATGGAGATCTCAGGTCAGAGCAGAGTTTGGGGAAGCTCCCAGTCCTCCAAGATGTGCCAGGAACTCTGCTAAGTGCTTTACACCCATCGCCTTATTTAATTTAACCCTTACACCAACTCTGTCGTGTAGGTGCTCTTACTTCCCTCTCCCTCTTCTATAGACAAAGATTTTGTATTTTGCCTAAGACCAGTCATTTAAGAGCAAGTGGAGCTGGGATTCAACCTGGGTTTGCTGACTCCAGAGCCCTGGCTGGTATCTCTGCAGCTTCACTTCTCCAAATCCTTATCTGACTTGACCCAGTTTACCTTCCAAGGTTGGGTGTATTCAGGGTGCTGTGGGAGGGATCGCTATGCATTCCTTGTGTGGGTGGGTCAAAATAAATTTTTTGGGCTAGTGAAATTATGGAGTCAGTGGCTCTAAAATCCATGTCAAGTGAGGAACCTTTGGAGGCGCTGGGGCTGGTTCATTGGAGGAGAGAAAGGAGCAACATTGATCATCTGACATGGAAGAGGTGGCCATCTCCTGAGTTGGCCCAGAGGGAAGGGTGGTTGGTGTGACCCAGAAGCTGATTACAGCTCAGCCTTGGGTCAGACCCGCAGGTGAGGCTCTCTGAAAGTGGGATGACCTGTAGAAGCTCCCCATCGCTGAAGGTGTCCAAACCAAGGCTCCACTGTCCACTTATCTATTCATTTTTGTGGAGAACGCACAAAGTGCCGTCTCTACTCCAGGCATTGGGGTACAAAAGGTCACAAGTCAAATGTGCTCACTCTTTTCCCGGAAATTTCCTTTTCTGGGGAAAACAGACAAACAAATAGAGAGACAATGATATAAACTCCTTGTCGGTCATGTTGTGTGTTATGAGGGAACTGAGGTGGGAAAGAAGGGAGGAAACTGGAGCAGACCTAGCCCTGCTCCATCAAGGGTCCCTGCTATGGTTTGCGTGTGTCGGTCCCCCAGCTTCTGTGCACTTGCGTTATAAGGACCAACTCAGGCAACTTTGTTCCAAGGACAGGCAGCCCTTGGGCCACTGGGACTGGAGCTCTTTGCCCCAGGCACAGCACAGAGAGCTCCTCCAACCCCCTGAGCCAGGACGTAGCTGGGAAAGCCCAGCCCTTCGTCTTTAGGAGGGACAAGGCTGGATGCAGTCTGGGCCTCCAGGCTTCTTCCCTGCTTGGTGACCGCCGATTCCCTGCATGGATCCCCTCATCCACTGTGGATTTCGCACTTTTTATTTTATTTTTTAATATATTTTTATTGATTTCAGAGATGAAGGGAGAAGGATAGACAGATAGAAACATCAATGATGAATCATTGATAAGCTGCCTCCTCCTATGGATCGAGCCCACAAACCAGGCATATGGCTCTTGGTCAGAATAGAGCCTGGGACCCTTCAGTCCGCAGGCCGATGCTCTATCCACTGAGCCAAATCGGCTAGGACTCTTGGGGGCACTTTCTAGATAAAACACTTGCTCGTGAATCTGCTTGTCTCAGGGTCTGCTTCTGGGGAGTTCAACCTAAGATAGAGGGTAATGATCTGACTTTTTAAAAAGAGTACTTTTTAAAAGGTACTCTGGTTCCTGTAAGAACAGACTATAAGCATGTATTATAGGAGATCAGTTAGGGGCCAGTAGTCTGGGTAAGGGATGAAAGAGGGGACAATGGTCATAGCAGGAAGAGGAGAGCTTTAAGATCGCTTTTGAAGATGGAATTGACCAGGTTTGCTTGGACATGAAGGAAAGAAAGGAATCCAGAATGTCTCCTATGGATACAAGTCCTCTCATTGGGTGAGAGGTGACTTCAAAGGCCAAGTGTCCATTTGAAAATCCACCTGCAATGGCTGGGTTTAGTAACCAAACAAAAGACGGGCGCGAGAGATGGCTGCCCAGGAGGACAGACATAAAAACAAGGGACTGCACATAGATTGCAGGTGGCTTGCAGAAATCATTAAAGTAGCCCAGTGTGTTTCTATTTCCTGCTCCTATAGCTCCCCACCCATTGAATCCAGGCCATGCCTGGGGTTGTGAAATGCTGGGCCTTTCTCTGGGAGGAAAGTGGTGGCGTGAGAATCATGCTGACCTTCTTGGCTTCACTATCTCATGTTCTTGCTGTTCTTTTTAAAAAAAAAACCACATATGCTCAGCTGTTGTTGTTGTTAACATTTACTGAGTACTAACTAAATGCCATATATATACAATATATATATATGTGTGTGTGTGTATGTGTGTGTGTGTGTGTGTGTATATATATATATATATATATATATATATATATATTTTTTTTTTTTTTTTTTTTTTTTTTTTTCCCCCCGCAAAACATGTATCACACTTTAACAGGTGATAGATCAATTGGTATTTCTTTTCAACCAGACTTAGGTTTGAACAGAGGAAATTCATCCTAAAATGCTACTGGAAGTTTGAAACTGCAGTTGAAGTATAAGCACTGCTTTTATAATTACTCAAAGTGTGTATATATTTTGGGGACAATATATATTTAACCTTCATGACAACTCTTTGAGGTGGTGTTCTTTCATTTCCCTTTGGAACTCAAGCCATCTTGGCTTAGCCATTTGTTCAAAGTCAGGTAGCCTGAGAGTGGCTGAGCTGGGATTTGAATCAGAAGTCCCACAACAGACCCCAAGTTCTCCACCAGTATGATTCAGCTGACTGGAGATAAGACCATGTTCTCAGGGCAGCCTGAGCATTTCCACTGCCTTGACAGAACTCCAGGCACTCAAGGCCGTGAGCCCTGGGCAGATTCTCATGGTCTCTCGACTGACACGCCCACTGCCCTATGTTCCCACCCAATCCCAGCGTCGCAGGTTTTCAGGGCACCCATCTAGCTCTGCTCTACAAAACAGGGCTCCCCCATCCCTGTCTTGGATTCCTAGTGAACAATCCAAGTTCTTGAAGAAGGCAGACCCCTTTGTGGTTATGGAATTTCCTTAGGAGCCCAAAGACACTTGATTGGGGCACATCGGATCCATTGCACCCATGTTCCCCAAAAGGAAAGTAGGTGAACAATGTCGTTGACTGTAGGGTCTGCTCACAGTTAATGTCTAGTATGTTGTCCGGGTGGCACGTACCTAGAAGCCTGGATGTTCCCAATTCGCTGGAGACTTCAGGGCCTTTTTTGATTTAAGAGGAGCTCCCCAAGGCCAGAGAAAACGCTGCCACAGGTGAAAACAGCCTAAATGTCCAAGAGTATTTAACTATTAGTTCTCTCACGAGTGTAACATTCCACATCACAAAACATTCTGGGTCCATGGTTAATAATGACAATATCAAAATAGTGAAATTAACTAATAGTGAAAAAATAACTTACTCCGAAGGCTATCTGCAAAGGCTACATACTATGTAATTCCAACTATAAGACATTCTGAAAAAGGCAAAACTCTGGAGCAGTTAAAAGATTAGTGCTTGCCAGGAGTCTGGGTGGAGGGAGGAAGGGAGGTGTGAGGAATGAATAGGTGGAGCACAGGTAATTTTTAGGGCAGTAAAACTATGTAATGATAAAGCATGTCATTATATAATGGTCTAAACCTACTGATGTACAGCACAAAGAGTGAACCCTAATGTAAACTATAGTCTTTAGTTAATAATTGTGTATCAATATTGGCTCAATTTTAACAAATGTACCACACTATAGCAAGATGTTAATAATAGGCAAAACTGTGTGTGTGTGTGTGTGTAAGGAAAGGGTGGTGAGAAAGTATATGAGAACTCTTTGTACTTTCCACTCAACTTTTTGATAAACCTAAAACTGCTCTAAAAAATGAAGTTTATTAATTTAAAAAATGATCATCTATATTTCAAACATACAGAGAATATGAACACATATTGATTCACCACATAAGTTTATCTTAAGAGATTGCCATATTTGTTTTAGATCACGTTTTAAAGAACAACATGTATTGTAGAAACCAATATCTTTATATCCTCCCTAAATTTTTACCTCTTTCCTCCCTCCCCAGAGAAAATTCCTTCTATCCATTTTTCTATCTTTTTACACATCTGATGACTTTAACAGTATGTAATATTGTTTTTGACCTTTTACTTCTTAAAAATTGAATTTTATTTCTGACTCTGCTAATTACCTTTTTATTACTCTTATATTAAGAATTAGTATTTCTTGATACATTGCAGCTCTTGTTTATTCATTTCAAATGCGATATAGTATTCCATATGCATATACCACAATAAGACATTTTAAAGTAATATTTTAGACTATATCTTTATGACATAAGGAAGTACTCCTAATGTTAAATGAGAAAAACAAGATATAAAATGTTATTTAAAGCATGGCATTAAAAATATATATATACATGCAAAATACTCTAATGTCAAATACAAAAAAGTTAAGGCATGTCATTTTGGGGGGAGACAGTTCATATTTACTTATTTGCCAGTTGAAGTTAACATACAGTATTATATTAGTTCCAGGTGTACAACATTGTGATTAAATATTTATATGACTTACAAAGTGATCACCCTGATAAGCCTAGTGTGAGGCATAGTTATTACAATATAATTGACTACATTCCCTATGCTGTACTTTATACTCCTGTGACTGTCTTTATTGTTTGTTGTGTTTTTAGAGTGTGAAGTGAGAGCGAGTTTATTAGTGACGCAGTGAGACAGAAAGTGGCTGCTCCACAGACAGCAGTGGCTACCCCCCCCCCCCCCCCCCCACTGTCTTTATAACTGGCAAGATGTACTCCTTAATCCCTTCACCTTTTGTTATCCATGCCCCCACCCACCTCCTATCTGGCAATCATCCTTTTGTTCTCTGTATCTAGGAGTTGGTTTCTGTTTTGTTTGTTCATTTCTTTTGTTTTCTTAGATTCACATGGTATTTCTCTTTCTCTGCCTGACTTATTTCACTTAGCATAATACCCTCTAACAATGCCGTTTTTGCATTGTGGAATTATGAATAATTTTCCATATTTCCTAAACTTTGTACAGTGACTAAGGGTTGGTTTTCTAATAAAAAAAAAAAAAAAAAAAAAAAAAAGTAAGACTAAAAGCATGCAGTGCGACTGACACTGGAGTCTGAACTGTCTATCCCGCAAAAGTATGATCTCCCTTCCCGCCTCATTGGCGGAGCCCCTGGCGAAGCTGTGACCAGCCCTGCCTGTGTCACCCCGTCGCCTCTCTGGGGCAGCAGCTGGCCCTGAGGCTCCCTGTCCCCACAGCTGTGCCTCCCTGGTCTCTGCGGCACATTTGGTTGTTGGTTTTTGATGCCTGATATCCACAACGCAATTACGGGACTGGCTATAATTACGCCTGCAGCGGTATTATAGGACTGGATATAAATACACTTGCTGCATGTGAGGAGAGTTTATTTCTGTTCACAGTTTACCATCTGGTTGGGTACACCCGCTCCTCACAGAGAGGGTGAAGAGCACTGTTCCAGCTAGAGGGGAAATGGGAGTCAGATCAGAGGCTTTAAATAAGCAACTTCTGCACAGTCCGCTCAGCGCCTGTGATGGGGCCACCGAGCCAGGAGCCCCAGGGGAGAGGCAACAGCTTTGAGCAGCTTTGTGTCGGGTCTGTATTGTTCGCTCCCTGCCCCGAGCTTGGATGAGGCTCAGCCAGGCCAGCTCAGACCTTCCTAAGCCACCGTACGCCTATGCAGCCCCTCTCCCTGCAGAGGCACCCGTGTCACCACCTTCTGCCTCAACTTCCCTGTCCAGCTCAAGTCCTAAATATCCACCTGCCTGCTAGGCCATCTCATCTGCCTGTGCTACAGCCACATCAACAACACCCAGAATTATTTTTTAGATTCCCTGACAAGATATTTATTCTGAATTTTCTACTTCTCATAATGGTACTATCACAGTCCTGTCATCTAGGGGATCATTTTTTAAAAATATATTTTATTGATTTTTTACAGAGAGGAAGGGAGAGGGATAGAAAGTTAGAAACATCTATGAGAGAGCAACATCAATCAGCTACCTGCTGCACACTCCCTACTGGGGATGTGCCTGCAATCAAGGTACATGCCCTTGACTGGAAGCGAACCTAGGACCCTTGAGTCCACAGGCTGATGCTCTATCCACTGAGCCAAACTGGTTAGGGCATAGGGGATCATATTTTTGTGTTTTTTTTTTAAATATCTCTTCATTGATTTCAGAGACGAAGCGAGAGAGGAGGGAGAAAGAGAGAAACATAATGATGAGAGAGACTCATTGATGGGCTGTTCCTACATGCCCCTTACTGGGAACCAAGCCTGAAACCTGGACATGTGCCCTGACCAGGAATTGAACCATGACCTCTTGGTTCATAGGTTGATGCTCAACCACTGAGCCACACCAGCTGGGCTACATGGTCTTGCTTTATTTAAAAAAAATTCTTCATGGTGAGAAATTTGGCAAAATGTAAATAAAATTTAACAGAGACGATAAAAAAATTTCTTTGCTTATCAATAGTTTCTA